GGACTGGATGACCTCCATGGTCTCTTCCAACTCTGTGATTCTGTGATTCCGTCAGGGTCTCCTGCTCGAGCAGGGGGTCGGACTGGATGACCTCCAGGGTCCCTTCCAACTCTTTTAGTCTATGGTTCTAGAAGGGTTTCCTGCTCGAGCAGGGGGTTGGACTAGATGACCTCAAGGTCCCTTCCGACTGTGATTCTGTGAGTCTGTGATTCTGTAAGGTCTCCTACTCAAGCATGGGGTTGGACTAGATGACCTCCAGGGTCTCTTCCGACTCTGTGATTCTGTAAGGGTCTCCTGCTTGAGCAGGGGGTGGACTGGATGACCTCTGAGGTCCCTTCCCATTCTGTCCTATGATTCTGTAAGGGTCTCCTCCTTGAGCAGGGGGTTGGACTGGATGACCTCCAGGGTCTCTTCCAACTCTGTGATTCTGTGATTCTGTGATTCTGTAAGGTTTCCTGCTCTAGCAGGGGGTTGGACTGGATGACCTCTGAGGTCCCTTCCCATTCTGTCCTATGATTCTGTAAGGGTCTCCTCCTTGAGCTGGGGGTTGGACTGGATGACCTCCAAGGTCCCTTCCGACTCTGTGATTCTGTGATTCTGTAAGGGTCTCCTGCTTGAGCAGAGGGTTGGACTAGATGACCTCCGAGGTCCCTTCCCATTCAGTCAATGTTTCTATAAGGGTCTCCTTCTTGAGCAAGGGGTTGGACTAGATGACCTCCAGGGTCTCTTCCAACTGTGTTACTCTATGATTCTATAAGGGTCTCCTACTCAAGCATGGGGTTGGACTGGATGACCTCCAGGGTCTCTTCCAACGCTGTTAGTCTGTGATTCTATAAGGGTCCCCTGCTCGAGCAGGGGGTGGACTGGATGACCTCTGAGGTCCCTTCCCATTCTGTCCTATGATTCTGTAAGGGTCTCCTCCTTGAGCATGGGGTTGGACTAGATGACCTCCAGGGTCCCTTCTGACTGTGATTCTGTGAGGGTCTCCTGCTTGAGCAGGGGGTTGGACT